ATTCTACAGGCTTAATAAATGTTAGATGAGTGAGAGACACAGAGATTTATTCAGACACACAAAGCGCTTCCTGCGTCTTACTGCTTCCTGCGTCTTACTGCTTTGGAAATAATCTTTATGTAACAGTCTAATCATGTTACAAAACTTTACCCTAAAATATCATTATAGGTTTAGATTATATCTTCTAGCAAACATGTTTAATTTTTTAAGGTTCTTGCTATGGTAATAAGTCTTAATTGTCAAAGATTTTATTAAAATCTTTTTGCTTACATTTTCTTCTAACGTTTTTATTTTTAAAAAATTAGCTCTTTAGGGGGCTGGGATTGGGGCTCAGCAGTAGAGCGCTCGCCTAGCACAGGCGGGACCCGGGTTCGATCCTCAGCACCACACAAAAATAAAGGCATTGTGTTGTGTCCATCTACACCAAAAAAATAAACATTTTTTTTTATTAGCTCTTTAGGGCTGGGGTTGTGGCTCAGTGGCAGAGCACTTGCCTCACACATGTGAGACACTGGGTTTGATCCTCAGCACCACATAAAAATAAGCAAACAAAATAAAGATATTATGTCCATGTATAACTAAAAATATATTTTTAAAAAATTATCTCTTTGGGGTTGGGCTTGTGGCTCCGTGGTAGAGCGATTGCCTAGCATATGTCAGACCCTGGTTCAATCTTCGGCACCAAGTAAAAATAAATAAATAAATAAAAGTTTAAAAAATTTGAAAGAATTTTTTTAAAATTAGCTCTTTATTTCATCTGGCATTTAATGTGGTATAACTAAGATGAGTGTTTTCCAAATGACGGCCATTATACTCAATTCATGTCATCTTTAGATTAACTCTGGGTTCAATTCTGTTTCCTTGATATAGTTATCTACTTATGTGCCAGTTCCACACATTTTAATCCAATGGATCATGTATCATGATTTACTTAGGTAAGTCCACCTGCATTGTTCTCACAAATAAACCGTAAAACCATTTGGGCATGTTTCAAGAATATTCCCATTGTAGTTCTGCTACAGTTATAGATTTGGGGGAAGCTGAAATATTTATATTAGTGTTTCTAACTATGCAATAATGAAAATTATGCTCCATCCTTTTCATTAATGATGCTATTTATTCAATTTCCTTATCTACCTAACATTTCCAAAATAATGCCAAATACTAATAAGAACAAACCTCTTTGACCACTTCCTAACTTCAGTAAGCATTTCCAGTATGTGATCATCAATAAGCATAATACTGGCTACTAGTGTAAAATATGTGTTTTCAAGTACATTTATTGTGCTATTGTTTATTTAAAACAGTATATAAAATATCATTCAATTATTACTTTATTAAGAGTTTATTTGAACTGATTGTCAAAATATATAACATTTTACAATAGCCAACAAACACCATGAGATTCTCTTTTCCTTTCACCTAAAACAAATAAAATTATGTATTAAGTCATCCTATCATTCCTGAAATAAACTCCTTTTGGTCATGTAGTATTTTCCTTTATCTTAATGCTAACCCTATCTGCTAATATTTTATTATAATGTTCGTATCTAAATACATAAGCAAAACTGGTTTGAAGGAGTTCGCCATTGTTGTTTTCTTTATTTTTCTACATGGGTCTCACTATGTTGCCCAGGCTGACCTCAAATCCTGGGCTCAAGTAATCCTCCTGCCTCAGCTTCCTGAGTAGTTGGGACTACAGGTGCATATAATAACATAACCTTGGAGGTATGGTTTTGACCTTTATCCATTTTGGGAGGAGAGAGTTATCCTTCTTTCTTTAAATAGATTTAATTATCTCTGCCAATATTTCAATTTATTCAACAAGCATTTATTAAAAAATACTGTGGACTTGTCAGACACTGGCACTATACACATAAAAAATGATTTGTGTTCCCATAAAACTCATATGTTGAAATCCTAAATCCTCAGTGTGATGGTATGAGGAAAAGGGGTTAATTAGGCTTTGAGGATAATCCTATTCATGGGATTAGTGCCCTTATAAAAGGGACCTCTCTTGCCCTTTGTCACCCTGTGAGAAGGAGGTCACAGGGAGATGACAGCAGTCTAAGAGAGAGGAAACAGGTCCTCATCAGACACTTGTACCTTGATCTTGGACTCTCCAACCTCCAGAACTGTAAGAAACAAGTGTTGATGTAAAAGCCACCCAATCTATAGTAATCTTTGTCATAGCAGCCAAGACTAAGAAAATATATAACCCTGGTGCAAAATATTATGTGAACAACAATGAAGAAATACATACGGAAGGGTACATATGTATGATCAATACATATATATATACATATACACACACACCCCAAAGCTACACAGGGAGACTTCACAGAATTGAAACCTAAAAATCTTAAAGGCAAGTATGAGAAACAGAAAGAAGAATAAATATTCCAAAACTTTTTTGTGAAGAAATCATTTACACTTGCTCTCCAATAATTGTAAACAGTATGTTTGTATTTCCTATAAGATGATGCTATGTTACTAATGGCAACCTGAAATTGTGTATTGGTATGATTATTAGCAAGGCCTACATTTCTTCCCACATTATGTACATAAGACTTAGTATTTGTAGATTTTCTTGTTTTTAAAAACTCATCCTTAATTCTTGGGTTTTCCCATTACTCTTTCAAATTTACCATATTTCTTATTGTTCCCTGCCAAATAACACTGTGGCTTTCTACAATCTTTAGCTATTCAGCATTTATGAACTCCAAAACTCAAAGAACTAGCACAGGCTGAAATATTTAGAACAAGACAAGCAGCAAAAATTTAACATTCACATTTCATCATGATGCTGGTATAGTTTTCATGTTGCATGGTCTCTTTGAGATTATGAGAATTTCTTCAACACTGATCTACAGCCAGGCTCTGAGCTATCTTATATTGAATGTAAACTGAAAGAAACTCAGGATTTTTTGTAACATGGTATCTGACAGAAAGTGTCCTCAGACAATACATTATGGTAATTTGAAGAGTGCAGAATGTACATAGCTGAGATTAATCATAAAACAGTACATATTGCTTATAGTATAAACTGGCCCAACCACTCTAGAGGACAAGTGTATTCAAATTTTGAAAATGTACACACCATTTAAGCAAATTTCTTTTTATGAATTTACCCACCCCCCCCAAAAAAAAAATCAAAAAACATACATGGATATATAGTTAAGAACATTCATTCAGTGCATTAGTGTTTTATAATACTGAAAATTGCAAATTTTCAACAGGAAAAGATGTTCAAATAAATGTAATGGAATATTATAAAGTTATGTGAAATTACCAAAATCTGTAAGAAATGATGGAGAGAGATGGACAAGGCAATTTATGGAAAAAAACATAAGACATCATATTATACTTAGTTGTACTAAAACAGCAGGCATTAGTTAAATGTATATACTAATAAAAATTTTATTTATCTATAAAAGTTACATTTAAATAAATTTAAAATTAAGTTCCTGAGTCACACTAGTCACATTTCAACCGCTTAAAGAGCCACATGCAGCTATTGGCTACCATTTCTGACAGAGCAGATATGGAATATTTCCACCATTATAGAAGTAATACTGAATAGAAAAAGAAACAGAAATAATGAAAGAAATATATGTAGGAAAAAAAAGACTGCAGTGACTCAGAAGTATGAAACATGAGGATTACAAATTGGAAGCCAACCTGGGCAACTCAGATTCTGAATCAAAATAAAACATAACAAGGTCTTGGAATATAGCTTAGTGGCAGAGCACCTCTGGGTTCAATCCAGTACAGGGGAGAAAAAAACTGGAAACATTTAAACAACAAATAATAACTTTTAGTTTTTAAGTTTTTGCTAATCTTATTTTCTAAATTTAAAAATAATCAACTACAATGGATTTTCTATGCACTAAAATCAAATTTTTTAAAAAACAATGAAATTTTTAGTAAATAAAATGCCCCAGCTATAAATAAAGATTGCAGATTAATTTTTTTCTTTTTTTACAAAAGGGGAAATTATGGAACAAATTACAAACTTAGAGAAGTATTTTTTTAATTACTACTTTGCTGCTATGAAAATGTCTTTTTAAAAAATATTTTTTAATTGTCAATGGACCTTTATTTTCTATTTATTTATATGTGGTACTGAGAATCAAACCCAGTGCCTCACACATGCTAGGCAAACACACTACCACTGACCCACAATCTCAGCCCATATATCATTTTTTTTTAATCTCTTTCTTTGCAATTTATTTAAAAAGGGATTACTGAGACCCACTAACAAAGTTTGGGGATTTTTTCCCTGTATTCAAATGTGAGTTATCTTAAATCTGACCATAAGTTATTATAGCTATTAATTTACTTTAACGTAAGATGAATTCTTCTTATGCTTCCTTAAAATGAAGCATTACCTAGAAAAGTGAAAAAATATCAATAGTCACACAGATCAGCTCAAATCTGAGTTTCCTCTCAAAAAATAAATAAGAGTGTGTCTCTATGTCATTCTTTCCATCTGAGCCTCCATGGTAGCAAATGATTTTTATCTCACATCTTTTATAGCAAGGCAACAGTTTCCATGGAAACCACAAGGCAAACATCCACTACTGCTTCCAAGGACATTGTAAATACACGTAAACTAAGGTAACAGCTTACTTTCTCTTATTAATATTTTAAAATTCAACAATAGTTAGTTACTGCTTTTGTTGTGTTGTCTCTGTGAATAAATCTATAGGTAGGTAATTCTATGCCCCTCAAGCATCAACTAGCCTCTAGAAATCAGGTATGCATGCAGTGAAGGGCAGGAGGTTCCAGAAAGCTGTGGAGCCAGCATGTATTCCAGATGATGTCATCTCTTACAAGACAGCAAATCAGAATAGAAATCAGTGAAGTACTTTAACAAAAAAGACAAAACCCCCTTCCAATAGCATGGTAGAGCATATAAATTTAACTAGGCCAAGAAGCTGATTAAAATAAGGGGGGAAAGGCAAAAATAAATCACAACCGAAGAAGTGGTCACTCACCTCTCTCAACATATTGTTCTCTTTTTCCTTCTGTTCCAAAAGGCTTTCTAGGTGGTGGACATGCATCTCTGCCTCTGCCAGCCGTCTTGTTCTTTCATGGTCTTCCTCAGTAGCCTTGGCAGACAGACCTTTGCTCTGCAACATCTCCAAAAGCTTCTTAATGGACTCATCCCGAGCATTTAAGGTTTGCTTCTGCGTCTCAATACGAAGCTCCATTTCCTCCAGGGTCTTTCGTAGAAGGAACAGCTCTTTGGCCTGCCGCTCATGCTCAGCATGCAGCCTCTGGAAGTTCTCTTCTGTCAGCTCTGCTACACAAGGTTCACCTGTCCTACTGCTACTGTCTTGCTGAAACAACTGATTCAGGTCCCTCTGGATCCGCAATTCATCCTGGAGAGCCTGGATTGTCATCTGCATGTGCTAGAACCAAGACAAAAAGAAAAACCCAAATCAGCTTTCCCCCTTAAGTAGCAAAAACAGAGCAGCTTGGGAGGAACTGAAAATAGCTACAAGGTCTGCCTTCAGCAAATCAGGATTCAACTTATTCTGTTTTATAGTTTCTTTAAAAACAACTAAGATAATCTGCAAAATGTCAGTAATTCAACTTGCATTTACTCTCAACATGAAGTATTCTACCACTGAGCCACATCGATAGCCCTTTTTATTTTGAGACAGGGTCTTGCTACATTGCCAAACTGACCTCAAACTGCTCAGCCTCCTGAGTCATTGGGATTACAGGTGTATGACACTGCAACCGGCTCCAACATGTGTACTATTAATTTTTATTTTACTGACAAGGACACTGAGCTTAGGGAGGTTTAAGTAACCTAAGAACACATGGTGACAGAACTGGCTTCAGAGAATCAGTATCTTAATACATCTTTTTGTTTTTTAAGATCTATTTTTTAGTTATAGGTGGACACAATATCTTTATTTTATTTTTATGTGGTGCTGAGGATCAAACCCAGTGCTTCACACATGTTAGCTAGTTAATACATCTTTTTATTGAGAATCTTGATCTTCTACAGTCGTTAAAAATCTTTAAAATATGCTGGCATTTAAATGCATTTTAAGAATCATATTCATAAATTAAAATTAAAGTACCTAATAATTTATTATAAGTTTATTCTTGGTAAGAAAAAGTAGTGCTTTTTAAGCATTAGAAGACTACTTGCTAATAAAATAATACCCCAGCTGGAAACTATTTTAAAAAGCTGATGTCTTTGCATTAAAAACAAAAAACTGGGGATTGGGGTTGTTGCTCTGTCACAGAGCACTTGCTTATTATGCCAAGGCCTGGTTTCGAACTTCCAACCCAGTACTGCAAAAAATAAATAATATCCTCTAACCCTCCCCGACTCTTCCCTTTAAAAGTCACCATAAACATTGTGAAAAGAAAAATTAAAAGAGTTCAAAAAATATTTGTAACATACACAGGAAGTAAAGATTATTTTCCTAACATAAAGATGTCTTAAAATAGATTTTTAAAAAAATGTCCCAGTAATAAAATGGGGAAGGATAAGAACAATTGAGTCACAAGAGGGAATACACAGTGCTAGTAGATATGTAAATAGATACAATAAAATAAATGTAAAAAAAATAAAATAAAAAAGAAATTTAAATAACCAGTCAAAAGTATGGGGAAATGAGACTGAATGCTGTGGTGCAGGCCTGTAATCCCAGCTGCTCAGAAGACTGAGGTGAGAGGATGGCAAGTTCAAAGCCAGACTCAACAACTTAGTGACACCCTGTCTCAAAATAAAAAATTAACAGGGCTGAGGTTAAGTGGCTCAGTAGTTAAGTGCCCTTGGGTTCAGTCCCCAGCAATCATCTCCATGTACCCGCCTCCAAAAAAAAGTATGGGGAAATGAAATGGTTTCTAGACATTGCATGGTGGAAGTTTAAACCTGTACAGGTACTTTGAGAAATAATTTGTATGTCCAAATTGAAATTGTGCATACTTTTAATCCATCATTTACATCTTTGCCAATTTATCCTCAGGAAGAGTTTGGATATGTGTACAAAGATAGGTGTACAAAAGTACCATTCACAATAGTGAAGAATATTTATTAGTAGTTATAAATAAATAATTTAATATCCGTAAGTAGAATTTTATGCAAATACCTTCCCAATTTTTTATTGAGGTAAAATACATATAGCATAATATTTATCATCTTAACTATATTCAAGTATGCAGTTTAGTGGCATTAAGTACATTTATATTGCTATAAAATCATCACTACCATCCAACTTGCAAAATTGAGACTCTATACCAATTACACCAGAACTACTCATTCCCTTCTCCTCTTAGCCTTCTAGCAGCACTATTCTACTTTCTATTTTCATAAATTTGACTATTCTAGACAATCATGGAAGTGGAATCTATAGTTTGTGTCTATAATTGTATCTCATTTCACTTAGCCTAATGTCCTCAAGGTTCATCCGTGTTGTGGCATATATCATAATTTTTTTCTTTTTAAGGCTGAAAAACATATGTAGGCATTTTTAAAAAATAGGTTTGAATGAGTAAAATACATTCATATGACTCAAAATTGAAGAGTTGAAAGAAGGAGATGGGGTGTGACTGCTAATGGTCAAGGATTATTGGTGACAAAATGTTCTAGAAGTAGGTAGGGTGATTGGTGCAAAACATTTAATATGCCGAAAGCCACTAAATTGTATACTTTGAACACGTGAACTTTATGGTATGGGAATTCATATCTTAAAAAGCTGTTCTTTAAAAAAAAGCTCAAGAGGAATAAAATAAGTATATTAAAATGTTTTTAGAAATTTCCTCTCAATTATTCTAGTTTTTTAAAAAATGAAAATTACTTGGGGGGTGCTGGGTTTGTGGCTCAGTGGTATAGAGTACTTGCCTAGCACAAGTGAGGCACTAGATTCGATCCTCAGCATCACATGAAAATAAATAAACAAAATAAAAATATTGTGTCTATCTATAACTAAATAAAATAAAAATATTTTTTTAATTGTAGATGAACATAGTACCTTTATTTTATTTATTTATTTTTATGATAAGAATCAAACCCAGGGCCATGCATGTGCTAGGTGAGTGCTCTGCCACTGAGCCACAACCCTAGCCCTGTATACTCATTTTAAAATCAAAATTTGGATCATCCTATACTTGTAAGGCATGTGCTCTACCACTGAGCTACAGCCTTAGCCCCTATAATCTACGTTTTTATACTTAAAGATTATATATTGTGACCAGAGATTTTGTTAATAAATATAAACCTAAATTGTTCTTAATTTATGCAAAGTATTAAATTCTGTAGACTAGTTTCTTTCAGTGGACTGTGAGGACTATTTTGGTTTGAGTGCCAGTTCTGTCACCATGTAATTCTCTGAAGCCTAATTTCTTTCTTTACCCTCCAAAGTTACTTTTCTTAGTGAATTTATGCCAAAAAAAAAAAAAATGAGAAGTTCAATAAGAAAACTGATTTCTAGGTATAACCATTCCTCCTTTTTTGAATATTTATCATTAATTCACAGAAGCCAGGAGAAGTATATGTTGGCTAAGGCTAATAGTGTCACATATTGACACATATGATTAAATCTAGCGTGGCAATTTTTTGATGAAGAAAATACAAACTACTGATGTGTCTATGAAGCTCTGCTCCCACCCAGTTCACTATAAATTTAAAACAATGCTCTGATGGGTGCCCTAGTAGGCAATTTTCTCCATTGAATACAAATCAGCATTCTCTCTTTAGGCTACAATCACGCTAGATTTATAAAAATTCCTGCCAACTGCTTTGGAAGATTAAAAAAAGAAGTAGGCTAAAAGCCAGGCTACTCCTTCTCCAGTATATTCACAAGAAGATAAAATGAGCATACTCACAAACTTCATATACATTTAAACAGATTCACTGATTTTAGTGGAAAGATCTCGTAGGAGAATTTCTACTCCAGAATTCTGCTCCTGACATTGCAAAATTATCTTACACTCCAAATTTTATAACACCCTACTTGTCTATTTTTCATTCTAAACTTAGCTTGATAAAACACTTAAATGTAAAACACTAAAATTTACTCTAAGGATTATGCTACTATTACACCAAGCTGGACCTCAATGAAATGGGAGGATCCTGAGAATAACAACAGTGAAAATTCTTCAATACCTGGCGGGGACCTATGACTTTTATTAGAAAAATTATCATAATTTTCTCTTTCACATTATAATTTTTATCTATTTAACTTCCCAATCAAACTACATGCCTTTTGAAGGTATTAACTCCTACTTGCATTGTGTCCTCACCATATGGCACCATGCCTGGTACAAACAGATGGTCCTCAAAAAAAAAATTTTTTTTTAGTATTTGCTGAATCAATGAACTAATGGGATTGTTTTAATTTAGTTGTTTTTTGCCTATTTAACCTTTCTACCTTCCTAACTACATTGATAAGTATTGTCAGACTTAGGATGTTTTAGGAATAACATTCTGTTCACATCTCCTATATATCTACTTATACTCTTCTAATATGTTGCCTATTCTTTATTCTCCATCATTAGGTTATAAATTGGTTTGAATTGGTTTCCAGGAATTTTATTACACTGAGATCATTCATCCATAGTTCTCCTGCTTCAAAAGACAAGAGACATACCAATGATGTCTCCTTTCCTACTTTTTAACTATAGAGAAGAAACAGAATGGAGCTGCAACAAATCATAGAAGGCATCATACAACTATGATGACTATATAGACACTGCTTTGCCACAAAAGTTATGAGATTCAATTCTGTAGCTTTCTTAGAAGTTGGTTCAATTTAACCAGCATACTACTGTGGGGATAAATGAGAAAGAAAGAACAGGAAAAAGGAAGGAAGGATTTTGTGAAGAGAAGCACTGAAACAAAGTAGTATCCCAAACCATACATCACAATAGTAAAAATATCACATTAAGCAATGCCAAGATTAAAGAGACTCATTCATTAAAAATAACATTAATTATTACTTTCTAAAAATGTTAAAACTAAAATTAATCACCAATCTGATTCCATAACAACCATGTCCTTAGTAATTAGTTTGAGAATGCTGTTGGTAATAAGCAATGGGAGGAATTACAAGAGTCTATAAAGTTACTGTTCATTCTAGCACCGTTTTCTTTTCTTTCTTGGTGCTGACAATCAAACTTAATAGAACATATTAAGTCCATGTTCTACCACTGTGCTATACCCACCATCCCCCAAAAAATATTTTCTTGCTTCACACTCTAACCCCAAAATTTCAAGCATCTGTAACAGAGGTAAATGAGGTATACAAAATTTCCAAATTTGGTCACTGAAATATAGTATATAAATCAACAACGAGAAAGAAAGGCAGAGAAAAGGAAGGTTAGGTGGTAAGAATGAGCTATGAAAGCATTAACAGCTCATCTTGGCAATACTGTTACTGCGAATGGA